CCTAAAGATAGAGACTATTCAAATAGTCTCCACAAGGAGCAGGTATAGGCTATTAAGCCCAGTGATTGAGTTTCACCATTCAATGAACGGGTGGCTGGACTTGAATCCTCACCTTCTCTTCCCACCTCCCCCAGAGAAAACAACTTTTCTGTATCTACCCTTTCAAGTTCCAAGAACATTGAATATTTCAATAAGGTCAACTCCCATGCTTCTTTATTCCAGAGAAGAAAGGCCCAATTCACTGTTTCCTCAGGAGGCAGTTCCTCTGTACCCATTATCAGTGCAGTGATCCTACTTTGAAGTGCCTGCATAGTTAGTGTCTTTCCTTAGATTAAAAAGGGGATGCTTCAAACTGATCAGCTGAGTTTTGTCTCAACTTTAGTTGCTTTACTAAAAGCCTGTTGATCTAGTAATTTTGGAACACTGTCTTTCACAGAAAGAAGTGGATGGTATTTAATGTCATTTCCTAGCTCTGTTATGATTTCCCTAGCTTTACTCTAAGGGGCCAGTTTGCTTTGACCTCCAAATTTAAAGAAGCACTTACTGTCCCATTTAGTTTGCCATTTTTCTTAGTTTCTCATTTTTGGGGCTGATGTTTTGATGAGGTTTCAGTAACTTTCCCAATCCTTTGGTTTACCACTTTTTGCCACATTAGTGTTATCCTCAACTTCTTTGAAGGATAGTTGGTTTATCCCCTTCCTAGGATCTTTTTCCTCCCTGAAATATGTTGGAAAATCATTGGTAGGTGTTTAAGAAAACATTGTCCAATAATGGTTTTCCTGCTAAAACTCCTTTTCCATTTTACTTCAGCCAACTCTGCCCTCATTCCTTTCTAAGTTGTCCTTATTTTAGGATGGGGGAAAACACTAGGTTTCTCACTACAATGGAAGTGAGAAGTTCTACAATGTCAGTCACTTTCCTAAAAAGTTACTAAAAACAATTAACCTGGCTTTGCCAGTTACCAGATCCAAAATAACCATGATCCCTGGTAGGATACAGTGTTAAAGAAATCTATCCCCACAACATCACATTCTTTGTGGTTGCCTCTGCTAGTTTTGTTTTCCTAATCGGAGGGGATTAAAATCAATGATTAGTTAACTCAGTTAAACATGCCATCATTTCCTAATTTTTCCTCCATCCTGCAGAACAGCTTTAGTCTTATGGACTACTCCCAGTTTCCTCTTCCCATTTTATTTTTACCTCCATCTTATGGAACCTAAGATCTTCCAAAGATCATTTCTGGCTATTTTACTTATTCCAGCCTGAGAGAATTATTCTATATACTCTACATTTCAGTTTCTATCTCTAATGTCCCCACAGTGGCTAGAAGAATATGCTCATTAATCTATGCTATTAAATTTATTGTTCCAAGTACTATGCACATTCAAGAGCCATTGATTTTTGCCTTTTAACTATTTCCCATCTCCTCTGACCCCATTTGTTTTTGCTTGTTCACTTTCATCCTTCCTATCCCACCAAATCCTTTTGCTTTTTAAGGCCATATGTTCCCCTTGCAGAATTCTTACCTGCTCTAATTAGTTTAAAACCCCTCTATAGCCCCAGTTATTCAATTGGGCACTGATCCCAATATGATTCAGACAGAGCCTGTCCCACTGGACTACTATGATTTTATTCTAATGCTGGTGCCCCACAAACAAATCTACTCCTCCCATAGGTACTTTTGAGCCACATTTTAATTTTTTAAAATATAAATCTTGTTTAGTGGTTCAGGTAACTTCAAGTTACTTGGTTCTACATTTTAAGTTTAGCTCTTAATTGGTTATAGTATTTCAGCAGACCTCTAGTACTACCAATGGCATTGGACCTAATGAATTCCAACCACTGGATACCACTTCTCCCATTCCATTTTCCTACACAGCCCTGGAGAGATGTTCTTACCATGGTATCAGGCAAGCAATAGTCTTCAGAACACATTCATAGCTGCAGAGAACAATATTCATCCCCAGTGAAAATGTTATCTACTACTGTATTCCTAGTGGCACTCCATATTATGATTCCATGGTCAGTTTCCTATTCCTCCTGCAGGCCTCAGCTTGCCAAGGGCATATTACTGTCAAGTAATTGCAGCAAAGGCCAAAAGAGCTACTATTTGGATTCCCATACTTGCTTACCCTGCAGTCACATGCACCTGTTCCTGATCATAGGAACAGTTTGAATTACATAACAAGGGCATCATTACTTCCAGGAGGAAATTATTTGGTAATTTCATCCTCCCTGATGCAAGGGTGTCTACAGCTTACACTCTAGCTCAACTCATCTAAAATTGCTCAAACTGCAAGCACTTGCTGCAACTAAGTGCACTCTGGATCAACTGCTTGTTCAGCAGTTCCCACATACTGCTGCAGGATCACATCACCCAAAATACCAACTTTGCCATATTTTATTAATCAACATCCTTGCTTTTTACCAGTGTAGTGTAGAGCTGGGGGAAAACACAGGTCAGGCAGCATCAGAGGAGCAGGAGAGTCAACATTTCAAGCCTGGACCCTTCATTTCCTTGCTTTTTACACTTCATTGTAAGTCTTTTTATACCAGTGTCTCTCATGGTTAAGCTATTCTTAATGGGGGGAAACCCTGCACCCAAACTAAAGACATTAATTTTACTCTAAAGAGTTGAAATACTCACTAATCAGTTGTTTTGGTTGGGCAAAACCCAACCAAATACCTCTTCCCTCCTCAGCTAAACTCCAAAACCCTATCGCAGACTGGCTACTTATATGGACTCCCAACAAAACAAGCCTATTTGAGTCACTTAATGAGGATCCAATTTCAGCTGCTTCTTAATTAATCTGTTTCACTGCAACCTTTTAAAAGAAAAATCTTTGTCTGTAGACTATGTTTATATTGGTTGTTGGCATTTGCATTCCCTTCTGAGTTATTTGAAAAATATTTTGTTGTGTTTTTGGTTGCACTTCAGCCCTATGCTCCTGATCTTTGGGTGTCCAGTACAGATGGATGTGGGCAGATCGGAAGACATCCTTGTGGAATTCCTCCTGGTTTTTGCCACACTGGCTAAAACAGGTCCAGGCAGTGGTCTGTGGAGGGGTTCATATCTGCTGACTGCCCCTCTTCTGCGGTTATGTTCGTGTCTGGATATCCCTGGAAAAGGAGCACGCAGCATCCATCAATGCAATCCATGCCTTCAGAGAGAGGTGGGCACCACAGGGGGTACAGTGATTTATTTTACCCTCCAACTTCATTTTGATGTAGTCCCTTCTCACTCTTCCTATTGCCCCACACCTTTGATAGTTTGCACTGCCCAAAATGGGCTTTGCGTGTAAATATTGAATTGGCTGCATGGGTGTTTTACTGGTGGTGGTTACTAGTTTTTAAAAAAAAAAGCAAAAGAAAACTCTGCTTAAGGCTTGCAGCTAAGCGCTATTATGACACTGGAAATATCCTTACCTGTGAACAAGGAAGCCTGGGATTAAGTTTCAGAGGTGTCTAATAACATCTCTAACCAGGTTGATTAGAAGATATGTAAGGCTAGCAATTACAGAATTTAAACTTGAAT